ATCGTTCCCGGGCCTCTCTACGCTATCACCTGAGAGCACCCCGTTGTCAGTGGACAGGAACACGGAGGCAAAGAACTTGTTAAAGAGTTCTGCCTTGTCTTGTGCGTCCGTCACCAACTGCCCTGCCCCATAGGGGTCCAGTGTTACCCCAAGACTTCTTGCTACCTTTAGCCTTCCTTACCAAATCCCTACAAGCTCGGATCAGGGAGGTGTACTCCTCCTTTGTCCCTGCCCCCTGCTTCCACTGCCAGTATGCTTTTTTCTTTGCCCTTAGGCCAGCCTGGATATCCGCGCTCAGCCATGAAGGTTTCTTGGACCCTTTTCCCGCCTTCCTGTGCAGTGGAATTGTGTCCTGCTGCGCCCCAAGGATAGCTTCCTTGAGGAAGGACCACCTTTCCTGGCCCCCCATGCTAGCTACCTCCTGGGCTCTGAGTGCCTCCCTGACTATTGCTCTGAGCACATCGAAGTTGGCTTTCCTAAAGTCAACCATTTGTGCTGTGCCCCCTCCCCACCTTTCTCTGAATGGCAAACTGGATCATTTCATGATCACTGTCCCCTAGTCTCCCTTGCAGTAGCACCTCCCCCACCAGGTCGTCCCCAAAGGCTAACATCAGATCCAGAATGGCGTTTCCCCTAGGAGGTACTTGTCCCTACTGCACAAAGTGTAGGTCCTGTACACGTCAGGAAACTTCGTGAGTGGCTAGACTGGGCTGACTGCTCCTCCCAATTGATGTCAGGGTAATTCATATCACCTATGACCACAACATCCTTTGCACGCACGGCCTCCCCAAGCTGCCTGGAGAATTCCAGATCCAGCTCTTCCTCCTGATGTGGTGGTCTGTAGTAAACCCCTACCACCAGATCCCTCTCCCCCCGCCCTCCTTGGCGCGTGACCCACAGGGTCTCAGTTAAGCCTTCCTCTGGTCCCATTTGGAAGGTAGAACTGGTATACTGTTCTCTAACATAGAGCGCAACCCCCCCCACTCTTTTTCCCCTTCCTGTCTCTTCTAAACAACCTATAGCCCTCTATGTCTAATGCCCAGTCAAAAGTTTCATCCCACCATGTTTCCACTAGGCCAACCAGGTCGATTTTACTACTTGCAAGCAGGAGAGCAAGCTCCGTGCTTCTTGCATTAGTGAAGAGACACCTTAATCCCCCTGACATCGCTCCCTGCCTCAAGCCGTCTAGCATTGTTTTAGAAAAATAATCTGCTTTACAATGAAAAAAATGTAAACAAAGGAACAGAAAATAGTTTTAAAGACATCTCTAAACCTGCCATGCTTTCCTAACTGGTGTATCAATAAAATTATATGTAATGAACAAAGTACAGAGGTTTTATTGGGTCTCCAATCTGAGAGTGTTAGTATGACATTTCCTTTGTGTTAGCACACACTATTTTAAATGATGAATCTGAATGGAAGAAAGGTTAAAGCAGGATAATTATTATTACTTTTTCCACACCACTGCAGGGTGGATTGATTTAAATCACTATTTTTTTATCAACTTTCCCAGTGTCTGGATGTCTACTTTTTTTTAGAGAGAAAATTATTTTCATTACTTGATATAACAAAACATGTTGATTTACAACTAAATACAGTTTTTACAGAAGATTTAATTACATTTGGTGTGTGTTCTTTTCAGCTGACACAATTTTTTGGAAATATTTCCAAGTAGGGTCATCTTTGCAACTTGCACCCATGGCAGTTTTTCCCTGCAGTTTCCAGGTGTTGAAATCAAGACTAGCCTATGCTCCACAGAATGTTGTTCCTTTTCTCTGCAGTTCTGAGTCCCGCATTGGTCCTTTTTGTTGCACACACTACATAAGATGTTTTCTGCAGAACTGGCTAATTAGTAGGGCTGTGCAAAGCTTCGACTTAATGTTCGGTTCGACAAATATTCGACCTTGAAAAGTGAAAGTCGGGTCGAAAAGCTGTCGAATCGAATACCAGAAGTCGAATATTAACAGCACAAGTCGAACAGTCGACTTGCCTATAGTGGATTCCCTGTGGGGGGCAGAAAAAAAAGGAAAGGGGGGAGAGGGGGAAGGAGTGCTTTCATGACTGACGTGTGGCTGGCCAGTGACCTGTCAGCATTCGCTGAGGTCCCTTCCAATCCCAGTGCTCTGGTGGAGGGCCAGAGAAAATGCATAAAAGGCAGCAGTTTTTCAGCTCCCTACTTTCTGCCTTGGGGTCCGTTTCTGAGCTGCTGGTGCTCTCCAGCACCTCTGCGTCAGACCACGATGGCTGGAAGCCCTGATCTTTCAACAGATTCCCTGCTTGCAACGCTAGCAACAGGGATTTCTGAGAACTTGGTGCTTTTATTTTATAACTACTTTTCATATTAGTTTACACTTATAGGGTTAGTAGTAGCATAGGATCTATTCTATATATAGGAATTTAGTTTATATATTTTTTATACATCATTCATTCTTTCCACCACACCAACGCTTGTCAATATATTATCTACACACACAAACACATTTACATAACATCCAGAAATCTAACCCACGGCGCACAGCACACTTAGAGGTTCCAGTTTACATGCAAAGGAACACATTATGAAGCGGGGTGGAAAAG